AGATTACTTATCAGCCAGTAGCTTACAATTAAAAATTAATTCCCATTCAATTTTTACTAGCCATGTGACTTTAAGCAATTTACTCAACTTCTCTTTGCTTTAGTTTTCCCATCTGTAAAATGGGAATAATAACTTTATCTACTTTATAAAGATGCTGAGGAAATTCAATAAGTTAATAAATGTAAAGCAATTAAAATACGTGACATGTAGTCATTATTCAATATATTATGGCTACCCCCATTTTTCTTGTTATTGCACAGAAGGGACATACATATAAAAAGAAAGCTAATTATATCAGGTAGCATTTTGAAAATAAAAGCTATAAAAATTCGTATAATTACTTTTATAAAAGAAATACACGTTATAATTCCCTTTCTAGCAATACTACTCCACCTTTATGAAAAAGTAAAATAGTAAACAAATTTTTAAACTCTTTAAGGAAGAAAAAATGCCATCACTAGGCTGACATGAAGATATTAATAAAAAAATAGGAGGAAACTAAGCTTCAAAGTCAATTTTCACTCTAATCATTTCTAATCAACCTAGGGCCACCCTAAGGGGAGACTCTAATTAGAGACCATTGCATAAAGCTTATATTTTCAGGGTATGAATAAGGAAGAAAGAAAGGAGGGAGGAGGCCACCAAACACCAGTGGACATACAGAACCATGCCTGTCATGACCCTGGTACCAGGTAGAGAGAGATTTATCATCTGAGTTTGTGTTACCTGTGTAGTTTCAAAAGCCTTAAGCAAAAAATTTAGAAAGGGATCTCAGGTTGGTAGTGACTCAAGCAGTATCTTCTCCAAGGAAATGCATCATGAACTCAGATGTCTGAGTGTACTCTCCACATACAAATCCAAGTAACGTGAGTTTGTAGAGAAAAATACAAAAGGACCCATGGCACCATGAGTAAGAGCCAGCGAAAATAACAAAATCTGAAACAAAAGACTTCAGACACTGAAATCTAATCCAACATATTAATAATGTTCAATATGTTAAAAGTTAGAGACTAGAAAATATGATCAAGAAGAAGAAAAAAATGAAAAAATGACCAAGAAGATCTGAAAACAAAGCAAGTAGAACTTTGAAAAAAGAAAACTATAGCAATTTAAGATAAAAACCCAATGGATGAATTTAACAGGATTTTAAATTGCGGAGAACTAACGTAGTGCAAGATTGTCCAAAGAAAGCACTCAGAAGGCATCGCAAAGAGATGGAAGATAATCAGAGAAAGCTTACGAGACACAGAATACAGATTAAGAAGATTCCTACGTTGACTGGAAAGGCAATAAAAGCGACAATTAGTATCAGACTGCAGTAAATCATGTTAACTCTAGGGTGACAATTAAAAGAATAGCAAGAGTGTTTTAATTCCTAGCAAACAGAGGAAAAATAAAAAAATAAAAAGATATAGAGCAAATAAGTAATCACTTACAAATCACAGATTTAAATCTATTAGTCAACCACATTACATTTGAATGAATTATAGGCTACAATTAAAAGATGGTGATGGTCAAATACAAGAGAAATATTTGAAACAAAAACAGGCTGAAAGAAAAAAACGGAGATACTACAAAGAAACTAACAAAAGAAAGGTGGTACAGTAGCTCCCCTTCTTTGCAGTTTTACTTTCTGTAGGTGCCATTAACCTGCGGTTTGAAAATATTACATAGAATAAGATATATTGAGAGAGATACTATATAACTTTTATTACACTGTATTATTCTATTTTATTAATATTTATTAATCTCTTACTATGCCTAATTTATAAATCAAACTTTATCATAGATATGCAGGTATGGGATAAAACATAATATTTATAGGGTTGGGTTTCAGGCATCCACTTGGGGTCTTGGAACATATCCCTCATGGATAATAGGGGACTACCTATATTAATATTAGTCAACAAGACATTTAGGCAAAATTCTATTAACACAAATAGGTTATTTCATATTAATAATCCAATCCACCAAGAAAATATAACAATTTCAACATATACAAAACAAATAATATAGCTTCAAAATGTAGAAGCAGAAACTGACAAAACTACAGGGAGAAACACAAATTCACAACCATAGTAGAAAGTTTCAACACAGCTAAATGATAGAACAAGCCAACCAAACATAGAAATCAGTACAGGTATAAAATGTTTGGACACAATCAGCAAATTTAATCTAATGAATATACACAGAACAATACATCTAATAATTTACTTTTCAAGCCCACATGAAAAATCTACAGAGTAGGCCATTGCTGGGTCAATATTTTCTGACCATAGAGCAATTAAGTTGGAAATAAGGAACGAAAAGATAACTAGAAAATCTCCACATACTTGGGAATTTAGTAGTACATTTCTTGGCCAAGGAATAGATCAAAATAGAAATTAGAAAATAGCTTTAACTAAATTTGAACAATAATGAAAATATTGCATGCCAAAATGTTTGGC